AAGTGGAGTTTGTTCTTCAAGGACTGGAGACAAGAGGACAGTCTGAGGGGAAAATAAACTTGTATTAGTTATAGTGCTAAATGCCTTATGTCAACTTCATCAGTCTCCAGATAAATGTCTCCCAATGTCTGCAGAATGCAGAGATCATATTGTTTAAAATCTATAACTGCTCATATCAGTTGCCAAAATTCCTTTAACCAGTCAGTAAGAGGAGTGAGTTTTTATATGAAGCAAATCACTTCCTTTTTATCTATCTGAGCTCACTGGGATATTTAAGCACTTGGTTAGTTTGTGTTAATTCTGTCTCACTTTGACATTAATCGAGGAATGTCTTTTAGCAATCTTTCTCCAAATCCATAACATGACCAAGGACCCTTTACCACTTGTTTCATTAACACATGGCTGGTGGTAAGGTTATTGTGTAAATGTTGTGGAAATCATTTTGTGAACTTTATTTATTTAATTAGCTAGGCAAGCAAAGTATGTCATTTTCATTATTTATTTTTTATTTAAAATTGTTTTCCAGTATGAAATATCTGAAACAATACAGTTGTTAAAACTGGAACTCTATATTGGATATTTTTACCTGAGCAGTTACATTATCAATGAAAACTAGTATTCATTTCTCTTTTATTATTTGAGTTTGCATGCTTATAAATGTATGGCCATAATTTGTGAGCAAAGCCTGATATTTCATTTTGCATGCTTTGCATAACCTTGACACAATGCCAGTTGTACCCCATTGTGGCCGGTGTATGCATTGTATACTGTATAGTAATATACTGTAACCAAATCTCCATTAACTTAGCCTAAGTCATGGGTTTGGTTACAAAAAAAACAAAAAAAAAAAAAAAAACACTGAAAGGAACAATAGGACACTTTAGGAACCAAAACAACTTAAGCTTAATAAAGCAATTTGGATGTGTAGACCATGCCCCTGGAGTCTCTCTACTCAATTCTTTGCCATCTAGAATGTTAACTTGCTTTAGTAGTTTTTATTTCCCTGCTCTGTAAATTGAACTTTAATTACATACAGGAGGCTCCTGCAGGGTCTAGCAAGATATTAATAAAAAAGAAAGTGTAAACATGGCTTTACAGGAAGTGTTTAGGAAGGCTGTGCACGTCACACACAGGGAGGTGTGACTAGGGCTGCATACACAAATTAATTTAACTCCTAAATGGCAGAGAATTGAGTAGTGAAACTGCAGGGATTTGATCTATACACCAAAACCGCTTCATTATGCTAAAGCTGTTTTGGTGACTATAGTGTCCTTTTAAATTCTGTGAGCTCTAAAGCTTGTGTTTAGGAAGGGGGACCTCTTGGTTTGGCAAAAAGAACTAGAATGAAGAGAAGATGGAATAAAAGAGGAAAGGAATAAGACATGAAAAGGAAAGGAAGAATAGTACGGGAAAAAGTAGGAAAAAGGGTGAAATAAGAAAAAAAGAGAAAAATTAGGAAAATGAAAAAAGTAGAACAACATTTTTTTTTTTTTATATGAGCAATCTTGAATGAAACATTATGGCCAATATGCAATGAAGTGGATGTTACAGGTAAACACATATGAGAAGGGTCTGCATTAAGGGAAAGCAGCAAGCCGCATGCAGAGGGAATGCTGCAGAGATATTGTTGAGGCCACAAATGGTGCAGGGAGATCTTCCTGAATCAGGAAAGGAAAAGGGTAAGATGAAGTGTATTACAAATTGACCTAAAGACAAAGACAGCAAACTTGGGCAGACAGTCTGCCTTTTATTCCTCTGTCTGCGTAGAATCACAATTCAGCTTTGCACAGCTTGATGTTACCTGTGGACACCTGCAGGGCTAGGATTAATATAAAAGGCACAATGACACATCTCTGGATGTACTTATTAATCTATGGCTGGCCCAGGAACCCCACTGCTCTCTTGTACAAAGCTGCAAACAATTAGTCTTTCGGAGAGAAGCAGTCAACAATTCTTCGGAGAGAAGCAGAAAGCGACATGGGATCTGCAATTTTATTTTTACAAACTGTCATAAAACCCTCCAGTACTACATAGTGGACTAGTAACAAACACATGTAATAGATTTACTCATTATTTGAATATTTTACTTAAAAAAATCATTCCACAAGTGGGATATCTGAATTGATTGAAAGAAAATCCAGAATGATGAGTACAGTATTTAATAAGAAAAATCTGTCAGAAAACATAAAATCTAATATAAAGCAAATAGAGCTCTTATTATTTGTATTTTAGAAAGTCGTATATCATGAACGTATAAAGTAGGTCATTTTCATGACATTTTATTAAAATGTTTTATGCTTTAAAATATTACTTTTAGCAAAACAATTGGTATAATGTGCAGTAAAATAACACAAGTAAAAAAAACGGCAATAAAATATGATTGCTGCTTTTATAATTTAAAATATATGCAAGATTTTCTTTTTGTGGGAAAAACTGAGATTAGAAATAGTCAGAGGTGGATCTGTGTGAGGGATTCTGCTAGAATAAAACTTTTGTTATGCAGTCTAGCCTCCTCCACATCTATACGTTGACTGTAATGCTATAAAGCAGAAACTCATGCATTTATTTGGGGTCAAAGGACTAACCCCTCTAGATATGACCGTGATAATATGCTCATGGGGCTAAAATTAAGAAAATGCACCTCCCACCCCCACCGAAAAAAACAAAACAGACATTGCCTTATTCTAATTAATTACTAATTCATTAAATGCACCATTTTATACCTTTTTTATTTTTTTATTTTTTTTCAAGTAAACTCCAACTAAGATAAACATCATGACCAGTTCTGAATCGCCCAGGTATGTGTAAGACTATGCTTTATGTTAATACAATCAAGATGGCAGATTTCAAGACAGGATAACAAACATTGTGCACCCATCTGTCTTTTACATAAAGGTGTAAAACATTAAATAAGACAAGTCATAGAATGGAAAGGGATGAGATGAGATATAAGACATATTACCTGTCATTAGAATCGTGCAGTATCTCGACTGAGGTAAAACACAAGATTAACAGAAAGACAGTAGCATCATCGAATACAATTCGGAGTAAGGATTTCAGAAACGCTCAAAATTTGAAAACCTAGTCAGGACAAGGTTACTTAAAAAACAGCATAAAGAAGACACACCCAAAACAAAAATCCCAAAAATCAGGGCTACTAGACCCACCGACGGGCAAAGAGTTTAAATACCTTGGCAAATGTCTACCAAATTATGTAATTTGGCATTTGTGTTACCCATACTGGTCTCTTTCAATCCCCATCTATGACCCCATCTCATTCCATTATTTTAATCCCACAAGTGACGCCATTGCCCTAATCTCCCAGTTGGAACTCTACTTACTCTGTTTCTAACTAAATATATCGTTCCGAAAGCAATATATATGCTATTATTTTGTTCTATGTACCCTTCAATATTATAGTTCATTAATGACTTTACCATAATAATAGCACAGTCTGCTAACCTGTGTTTGAAATGTTTACGGTTATTGCAGGTTGACAGTACACATGCTGTTCCAATTAATAATGTACTCTGCGACCATATCCTCACTACTTAATGTTTTCATAATTTCTAATATATGATAACATGGTCTTGAAAAGAGCATACTTTTTCATAATTGTTAAATAAATGAATCCAATTAAGCATCTTACAAGAATTTAGGTTTATGACTTTTGTCTCATCCTGTACATTTGAGAAAATTTAGTTAACGGCTACAAAAAATGGTGTAAAATCGTAATAATAATAATACTCCTCAGGTTATACATACCGAGACAAAAAAAAAAATGAATATGTTTAACGTGAATCAGGCAAACGATAGAGGGATAATAAATACCAGTATTAGAAAAAGGGTCCAGGCACTCCAATGTCTTCAGGCACCTTTATTAGAACATGTGGATTATCGCAACGTTTTGACCCGAATGGAGTCTTTCACAAAGACTTTGACAATTTCGAGTGCCAATCACAAGATTAGGTACATCTGATAACATCAGTTCATATCAGTGGAGAAACTAACGTAGAAAGGGTCATGGTGCAAGAATGTTTTTGCCTATTGCAAGGGTGGTCAAAATGTAGATCCCCATCAGTCGTACATCTCCTACAATGCTTTGCCAGCTGGGGATCTACCATTTGCACATGCTTGCAGGGTTGTATTTAGCACTGATCAGTGTTTGTAGGTAAGTATGTTTTTGTATGGAATACGTGTGAATAAATGTAGGGGTGTGTTTATATGTACTGTTGGCATTTGAATGCATGTGGGCATTTGTGTGTAGTGTTTGTTTTTTATGCAAAACTGTGTTTATATATAATGTTGGTGTTTTAATACAGAGGTGTTTGTATGTAGTATTGACATTTGCATGCAGGGGTGTATTTGTGTGGAGTGTTAGCACTTGAATGCCGAGATTTATACAAATATAAACATACATTGCAACACACAAACACACTAATACACATACACAAATATATATATACATTAAGATAAACAGACACAGAGATATACACACTGACAAATGCAGATAGACACACGGATACAAAAACTAGCACACAGACAGATATACAGACACAAACAGACAAACATGCAGATACACAGACACAGATACACACACTGACACATATACAGATGCACAGTCACACTGATACACATACTGACACACATACAGATACACAGCCAAACACAGAAACACATACGGATAAACATACACACAGATACAAACGCTGCCACACATGCATATGCACAGGCATATATATCCAAACACTGCCACACATGCACAGACACACAGATACAAATACTACCACGCATAGAGTTACACAGACACACAGATACAAACACTGACACACATACAGATACACACAAACACAGACACACACAGACACACACACAAAGACACACATACAGACACATATGATGGTCACAATATCAGCCACCCTCCAGCTTCCTACCTTTTGGATGCAGGAAGGTAGCTTCTGCTGGCTGAGGCTGTTGGGAATTAGGGGCTTTGTCTCCTGGTCCGTCATACCTTCGCTCTGCCTACTCCTCCTGTACATGGGTTATGTTTGAATGCTTCCTGCATGGCTTGGTGTGTGTTAGGTGGGAGAAAGTGACAGGCTCTCAATTCTTCCAAGCACTGTGATATTACAGGGTCCCTGATGACACATGTCCATTAGATGGCCCTAAGTGCACGGGCCACTAATATAATGTAAAAGCAGATAAAATGCATTGTTGCTTGTACTGAGTGTGACCTCTTATAATGGCCCATGAATTTGTTATATCGAGTTAACTAAATAAGTGCATAGTGACTGCAATGCAGATCCCTGAGGCTAATGTAATAATGCTTGGCACTAAAATGTAATAATACTAATACCTCCTATTTGGAGAGCTGCCTGTTGTGCTAAACAGCTTGCTTATCCATGTAGTCAATCAATGTCTCAGCAGTTCCAGCTCAACTTCAAAAAATCTATGTTTTTAATAATTACATTCTGCATTGCTAAGACCTACTTTGCAAATGTTTAAAATAAAGAAGTAAGCAAATAGTTTATTAATCACCATTCCAGGCAACTGCTAAGAGGATTTTACTTCATAAACCATCTCCTTTGTACATATGTTATGTTTGAATACTAAATGAAACCTACTGAATACAGCATCTCTTATTGTCACCTCCATCCCATCGCTGGTGTTTTCAGGCAGAAAAACAAATATTTCTGTTAGAGTAGTCCATCCCCATGCAACGTTTAGCATAAAAGTAAAAGCCTTCCCCTTCCTCACTATACGAGAGCTTATATGGCTCAAAAATACAGGGAGGAGGCATAACAACCTATTGACTTCATCACTCCATTCTTCACAGCCCACCTTTTTTCTCCTTTCATGATGTCATATTTTTTATAATATTGTAAATGCACCTTGAAATCAATATGCTTACTAGATAGAATGCACCATTTCTTTAATTCTGGTGTCATTTTACCCCACTCCTTTGAGACTGTAAGTTTGCATGGCCGTCTTTAATGCGGGGAAAACGGTCCGGCTGTCTTGTGGGCCCCTCTGCCACAAAAAAATCATTAATCTGCCCCGTGGGCCCACCGGTGCTGTGGCTGCACCGGAGTCCCACAGAAAAAGGGAGCCAATTGGGTGGCCCATGCATTTAGGGCCACCCGATGGGCATTTCTCAGCAGAGGCCTGGTCGGGCACTGTGGCCCTTTAACAGTGAACCGTGCCCCTTGCTGAAAAACAGCAGGCTAGGAGGAATTGACAGCCGTGAGTCCCTTCTTCCCAGAGAGAATGAAGTCATGAGGGAGGGAGGAGGATGTCATCAGTAAGGGGACTGATGTAGTGTGCCAGAGCCTCTGAGACCCTAACTCCCAACTCAGCCTGCCACTGGACCCCAGGGAAGCCACCCTCCTGTACCCAAAAGGTAGGAAACTGGAGGGTAGCTTTAAAAGTGTAACCTTTGCATGTGTGTCAGTATGTCTGCAAGTGTGTCAGTATGGTCAGTATGTCTGCCTGTTTGTGTGTCTGTGTATCTGTCTATGTGTCAGTGTGTCTCAGTATGTCTGTCTGTGTGTCAGTATATCTGTCTGTATGTATCAGTATGCTTGTCTGTGTGTGTGTGTCAATATGTCACTGTGTGTCAGTATGTCTGTCTGTGTCAGTATGTCTGTCTGTCTGTATGTATCAGTATGCTTGTCTGTGTGTGTGTGTCAATATGTCACTGTGTGTCAGTATGTCTGTCTGTGTCAGTATGTCTGTCTGTGTGTGTCAATATGTCTGACAGTGTGTCTGTGTTAGAATGTCTGTTGTCTGTCTCAGCATGTCTGTGTGTGTGTGTCAGTGTGTCAGTATATCTGTCAGTGTGTCTGTGTCAGTATGTCTGTCAGTGTGTATCAGTATGTCTGTGTGTGTGTTTGTCAGTATGTCTGTCAGTGTATGTATATATGTCTGTGAGAGTGTGTTTTAGTAAGTCAGTATGTCTGTCTGTGCGTGTGTCAGTCATAGTGTGTCTATATGTTGATAAGAATGAGTCAGTCAATGTGTGTATGTGTGTATCAGTATGTCTGTCAGTGTATATCTGTATTTTGTCAATATGTGTATGTGTATGAAATTCTAAAAAGCAGGTAGAGCGGTATCACGTGGACTTTTAGGTAGTTTCCAGTAATATCCTGTAAATGCAAGATGGAGGGCTTTATCAAAGAGTCAGACAGCATTTATAAGAGAAGTGGAGAGTGGATGGGGCAGTGATGTAAGAGGGATGTATTAAATGCAGAGATGTAAGAGGGAATAGAATTGTAGAGACTTTTATAAGTGAGAGAAATGAATCTAAATTGCATTTTAATGGCATGGGAAGCCAGTGAGAGCTTTTCAGAGGGGATCAGTAACAGAACAAAGATTTCTGAAAGGAGGAGCTTGGGAGACAGTATTTTGTATAGACTGGAGTCAAGACAGATATTTTTCAAGAAGGGTGAAAAGGAAAAGGTTTGAATAATCAATGTGGGTGAGAGATGAATGTTAGACATGTGCAATTCGTTTTGGTCCGAATATAGCGGTATAGCGAGTAGGGTCAAAATTTACTAATACTAAGTAATTTTTACTTAGTATTAGTAAATTTGGCTGAAAGACCAATTTAGGTCTTTCAGCCTTTTGGTAGATAGCTCCCTAATACTGGGAATTAGGGAGTTATCTACTAAGCGTCTGCAAGAGAAGTCCTGAAGTCCCGAAATGTCGAAATTCCGAAGTTCCGAAGTGTCGAAGTGCCGAAGTCCCGAATTGCGAAAGTCCAGAATTTCAGAATGCCGAAACGAAAATTTTCCCCATGCACATGCCTAATGAATGTTTTTGAACAATTCTCTTAATTCTTTTCATATCAGTGGAAATGGAATACCACCCATAACATGTCATAGCTTGTCAACAGAGCAGGAGTAACCCTATGCTAACCCTAAAGTCCCTAGAGGCATAGATTTGCTTGGCCTCATTAGCCATCCCTATCATGTGAAGAATGAAGGGGGGACACAATTTTTTAACTTACATAGGGCCCTGTCTCTTAATCCTTCTCTGCTTTTCAAGAGCATTATTACAGATGGATGAGTGGACAGAGCTGAAGATTAACCCATTACTTACATCATATGATGTGGGCAAACCTATATCCTAAATATAAATAAAATAGAACAAATGTGGGTGGAGATGATTTAACTCCACAGTAGCAGCAATTATATGGCTCGGAATAAAACGTTATCTTAATACAACAATTGGAACACTGTCAGTAAGTTGCGTCGGATATTGCTGGGTAGATTTCATTCTTTAACATTTCTCTCAACTTGTTACATTAAATAAAGCTTAAAAATAAAAAGCTATGCGCCTTGCAAATGTTTGTTAGTTGACAGGGAGATTATTGGGATTATCTGACACTTAAAGGGACACTCCACTGCATGAATACAAAATAAACTGAAATCACTGTTTAGTAGATATACCCTGAATGAAAACTTGTATGCATTTAATTATGCATTTTTTTCATTGGGAGTATATCTATACACAGCTTGTAAAAGCTGCAGTTCTCTTGCTGCTGCCTTTGCAAGCCCTCCCCTACTAATCCCACCCAGAGTTTATATGGCTGTCCAATCACAGACTTTATATGCAGCTCAATGAGAAGTATGCAAGGCAAGTGCTCTTGAGTTAACTCCACTGAGAATGAAGTGACAGGAAGTAACATGACCTGCTCTCTGCTTCAACGTCAGGAGGGTGTAACCAGGTAAATTTATAAAAGTGTAAATTTTATTGAAATTTGCACTTCCTGCTAAATTTAAAAAATTGGATAAACTCTTCACGCATAAAGCTTTTCAGCAAGCTTAAGTGCTTTAGGCGTCTGGAGTGCCCCTTTAAGATATATTTTTTAACTGGGATAATGCTCTATAGGTTTATATGCTCTCATTATTTCAGTAACAAAAATACTAGGTGTTATATAATTTGCAAATCCCTGTCAGTGAGATCATTGAAAAATACAGGAGTGATCTGTTGCTTGCAAATGATTCTGATAAGAATAATGTTGCGTGTTCTACAGCATTAAATATTTGCTAGTAATTTGGGATAATGATGGAGTGCTCTTTAACTTGCAAATACTGATCATTAAAGTAATTATAAGATTTCTGGTGTGTTCTATAACTCACAAACTCTCGGGAGTTAATTGTGACAGTTCTAGGTTGTTCTGCAGCTTGCAAATGCTTGTCGATGATTCCATAGGGAGAATGCTGGAGTGTTCTGTATCTTATCTAACGATGACTTCAAGAATTGAGCGTGAAAGTGGAAAAAGTGTTTACAGAAATATAATAAAAACAATAAAGCAAGTAAAATGTAAGAAATGCTGTTTTTGTGACAAACTGAATCAGCTCTCCCAGTGGGGTGTCAGGTGAACAGCGCTGGCGTTGTAAATCCTGCGGAGCAAGTAGGAGGTAGAGAACAGGCCATTAATATTGCTTTCTTTTTAGTACATGTAAGCAACGCACTCTGTAAAAACTCTGATAATATTGGGAACAACGAAGCTGCAGTTAGAATACACATTGCACAATAAATTGTCTATACAACCAGAAAAAGTCAATCCACAAACTCAGGATGTACTCAAAAATAAGATAAATCTTAACACATTATTACTGGTAAACATTTTCTATATAAATCAGATATTACAATGTTTTAGAATACCTATTTATTACCAGTATCAGCAATTTAATCAGCAACACATTGTACAATACATCAATATCATTTGATTAAACAGCATTTACGCCTTTACATCGCTTTGGAATTGCTCAGAATGGCTGTTTTTAGAACCTGCGACACAAATTATACATTTCAGAGAGTAAAGATTTGAACGTGTAGTCAACTATGAACTGGGCCGGATCAATATCTTTAAAGGGACTTTCTGCTCACTGTAATCACTACAGCGTATTGTAGTGGTTATTGTTAAGGGATAACTCTTTTGTGTTTTGGGTCACAGTTTTCAAGCAGATTGACATAAAAACAGGGATGCTTTTGAACCAAAAGCCGACCCATCAAGGACGTAATAATGAGGAATTTTCACTTTTTCATTATTCCTTCAAAATAATTGCTTAGGGAAAGCAGTAGTTGGTCTCCATGTAAATTACAATTAACCCTTCAACTCCAACATATTGGCACAGGCTAATATCAACATGATTATCAGAGCTGACTGCACAGAAACTGGTAACTGCAGGTTTGGACAACCAAACCTTGCTTCTCTGTA